GTTGAATTTAGAACAACGCTATATATAAATGGTGTACACTATCAGCGAACGCCATCACAATGGCATAACTATTGTATTGTCGTCTACAACATAATGCCACCAACAAAAATTGTTGTATAATGCAGCAGCAGCAGCATTAATTCAAATAAAACTGTGTTATTGCCTAAGTTCCACTAATTTCTACGTGTTATTCATCGTTGAGTGATTTTGAGGCGAATGGAGTCGCCGTTTTGAGTGCTTCTCAGGAATGCACTGAATTGTGTTTGTTTGTGAGGATTCTGTTTCCGAGTTGTTTGTTACCGAAGATATTTATTTTCTGAAATGTTTATTGCACTACGCAAGCGGACATTCGACTCTCATTTCAATCGCATTATTTTATTGCTCATTTGCTCTTCATCGTGTATTATACTATCGGTAGATGGCAACAAAAATTCTCCTAAAAATGGTTTGTTTACTAGTTCTTTGGGCGAAATAAATTTTTATCAGAACAAATAAGAAGGAATAATCCTAAAAGTCGAGAAGAAATAATCTTTAAAATATGAAATTGTCAAAAATATGAAATTGCCAAGATAAAATTTAGTAGCTATACGCACTTTTGTATGTATTTTGTTTCTGTTGTGTACATGAATCCTAATCTCCATATAAAATTCTCATTTCACTTTTTTGTGTGCATCAATCGCATCTGCGATAGTTTGCGAAAAGGAGTATTTGTTTGCTAATTTTTGGTCCACAACTTAATATTAGCTTCAGCATTTGAAACCAATTTCCAACTAACAAATAGAATTNTATTTGCCATCGCCGATTTCAGATGTTCTATCTCGACGTAGCAGTAGCGGTTCAATTGCTCGTTTGAGAATTCCACCGCGCGTCGAAAGACGATTTGCTCCTCGATCACTGCCTAATCCCCATCGACCTAACGCAAATCCAACAAAAGTACGTATCTCACCATAAAACTTTCATGTTTCTGTTTCCATACAATGCAAGAGGCTTTTTACTGTCAGCCCGTAATGCATTTGTAACGAATTAACGTGTCAATATGCAAATGGTTCGACTCATTCCTATAGCACAGTTACGATTTTGAACCATTCGCCCTCCGGTCAGCAAAAGAAGAAGGAATCTGAGAGTGGTGACTGATTCAGAAGATTTAACTTTAAAATGTGAAGCTGTATTCATTGCGTATGCTGCGTCCTAGCCTAATCCAATCCGACACACATCTCGTTCAAGTAATCATTAGGCGAGCATCTTTAAACGACCAAATCATAACAAGTAAATGATTGACTGTTTAGTTCAATGTGCCAGCAGACCTTAGCCAACAATGTACAAAGGACTAACTCATATATACAGTCGCTGTTTGCGTCAAGCAATTTGGAAAATTGATTTTGTAGATCAACTCTGCTAATTTACAAAATCCTTTCTCAATATCCACAAAGAAATCCTTCACTCGTGTACTTCCACGTAAATGACACCTCCATAGAACGAACACGTGCTATGCAACAGCTTGCCAGCATTGCAATTATTAACATCTTTTTTTTGTGTAGTGCAAAGTGCCACTAAATTAAGGACCCAAAAGAAGTTCAAAAGAGTACGGTTGGGCCATTCGTAATGGATGTTATGCGTACGACAGTGAAAGCGATGTCATCCGAACGGTTGAATTTATTGAACGATATCGGAAGGATCCGAAAATCGAAATCGATGCTCTATGTACCGCATGAAGCGAATCGGAAACGTCTCCTTAACGAGAGAAATAATAAACTCAAACGATTACGTTACAATTCACAGCATAAAAAACCAGTAAGAGGTTTTCTCAAATCACTTTCGCATCATCATTTTCCTCAAATTATCGATATTTTCTCCTTTTTTTTTCTGCTCACACTGACGTTATGAGAATCATTATGCTGATTATTGAACAACCAAAAGGATGTGCATCACGATTTGAATGAGTTTTGTCATTGGTATATTCACACATCATTACCTTTCTCTTCTCGAACTGATCAGGATAACCGAAGTAGATCAAATCGCTGAACCGCATTGCAGCGAACTATGTGAACCTTTTGAACCATCTGTCTGAAATTTCTGAAATCTCGCTTACGATATTGCATCTGTTAGAGTGTGAACAATGTTCCAAATTGATTGAAAGAAGCGAAATGATTTTTACAAAGTTTTAGGTACGACTAGTGTCACATGAAGTTTATGAAGCAGAATTGGTGAGAAATATTGAGGAAGATGAATTACGATACCTTGGTAATCGACAAAATCATGCCAGTAGTCGACACGCTAACGAAAATCGTAAACTCCAAAGCGGAATCCGTGACGATTCGTCGAGGTATGTTTACTGGGACTATCGTTCGAAATCTTTGAACAGTATTCATAATCACACTGCAATTAAAATGTCATCCGATGTTCAATAGGTTGTTCCATCTAAACTGTTGCATTCAATTATGAGCAAACAGAGAACTGCATCAAACCCATCCACTGCTTTGATGCGTAAGATATCAGGCTAATGATTGTCGAAACAAGCATCGAGAAGAATGATTTAATCGAAAAACGCTTTGAAGGTCAAATTTTGTAACTGCTGGAGTTCGATTGTTGAATAGACCGTCGAATGTGAAAATTGTTCAACGACATCAATCGCCACAATCGGCGAATTCGAAGAAGCAAAATTTTGTGGTGGGTTGGTTCTCTTGCGATTGTTTTCAATCTAATCCAGCTGGCTAATCCAAACAACGATTGTGTCAAAATGATTTGAATTTAAGAAAGCAGTTAAGCTGAAGTGTCAGTTCATTTAATCAGCAATTGTTTAATCGGATAACCTGAAGTTCTGCTATCAAACGAAATACTTTTCAAGTCAACAGCCGTTAAAAAGCAGCCCATCGGAAGAGATTTGCAACCACAATCGAAGTACACTCACAACCATGGAACTTACATAAGTTTTCATTCGCCCAATCAAATCAGCCAACAACCGCCCAACTCTTCGCCGTATCACTCATCATTACCCTCATGGATGATCAGTGATGACCGTGATCTTTTCGATGGAACTATATTCGATGCGGCTCAAAATCCCAAACTGACCGGTCGTCGCGCACTCTCTATCGATACACCTGATTCACAACAAAAAACAAACGGTAAGTGGAAGATCTCGTTCCAGTCTGGTCCGCGCTTGTGACATTGCGAAACACACGCAAGCGATTGAATATGTACAAAAACTCAAAAAGTTTAAAACTTATCCGTAAAGCAGTTGGAATTCCAGTAAATGTTTCACTGCACTGCAGAATTTAATCCGCACTGCTCTTAAAGTCGGTCCCTAATCAATCCATTAATGTTCAATTAAGTTCAACAAACCAATTCTGTGTTTCGACAAACCGAAATATTTCAGTTCCAGAACATCTGCAGCTCAATATTTGAGAACTTGTCTAAGAACGGCTATTGAATTTTTTCAGGGATGATTGCAGAGAGGCTCGAGAGCAGTTTCCAACAGCAAAGTAATTCAGGTGAAGTGGTGACGTCGTCGAACAAACAATCTGGTCATTCTGAAGGAACAGAGGACAGATCAGATCGGCTTGAGCACTTCGGCACGATAGAATCGACGCAAACAATAGTACCGCCATCGGACATTGCTGAACCTAATTTGGATGAGTTCGGCGATAATATGGATAGCATTAACATGAATAAGAACTTCATTGATCAGAGTGTTCGAAACGAGCACTCCAATTATCATCCGTATAATCAGAAAACGTTAGAAAACTATGAAGTGATCAACTCATTGCCATCGTTCCCGTTCAGTCACTGTTACATGAATGTCAACGGTGAGTACCGCCTTTAAAACAAATACGGTTTGCAGATATTTCGAAGGCTATAATTTTTCGGATATTTCGCGTCTATCCGGTCTCACCGATAACCTCAGCAGGCCTATTGCAAGCTTGAGTCTAATTTTGGACCTAATCCTTAAGAATATATTTCTCTGACTGCTGCAAAGTGCATAATCTTCCAAACTGTCATTGTACCTGAAGCACTTTTGCCTGGAGCAATTAAGTCGACTTAGAGATCATTTCGCTGCATATAGCCCACTCATGTAATCAATGTCCTCACCAAAAACACCTCTAATGGAGTAGTTCTGGTTGACATAGTGTCTTTAATTTGGCTGCTGTAATTTTACTGCAAGTGCCTGAAATATACTCATTATTGATAACTACAATGAGAAAATTGTGAGTTACTGACGACCACTGCGCTAAAATAACGAATTGCTGAGAAATTGTAAATATGTCTGAACGGGATTCTACAGGATTCATGTGCTGCAACCGCTCACTGGAATTAACAATGAGGCAAACGTACACAGACCTTCTTCGTACAACCCCAGCCTATAATCCCTGTAATATTCAACGTCTGGCTAATCTTATTCAAAAAAACGTCGAGAACAGGTATAACATCAACACTACAATGGCATCAGTAAAATTCGACAATAAAACTGAAATTAACAAGCAGAAACCATCCATACGATTACCTTTTCATCCCATTTCAATTAAGTCTGAGTTAAATGACGGCCTGCATTAATTTGATCTTTTTCAACATGAATTAATTGTTTTGACACTAATTTTTTATCTCATCGGAAAAAGATGATAAAAAGACTGATCAGAGCTAATTCATCAGGTTTGAAATTCCGTTCGAGATAATCGTTTCATTGGACGATTTCGTTCTTTATTCACATTTCATTTCTGATTTAACGTGCAAAATTGAACTCGATGGACATTATATTGCTGCGTATGCTGCAAGTAGTCGTGCCGTTCGCAAGGTACGTTCTAAAGTCTTTTCAGCGAATGTTTTTGAAATCTCAATTGTATTTTCTTGGAATTTCAACTTTTTCCTTCAATGTTTGAAACGGTCAACTCGAAGTTCAGTATCAAAGAAAGATTTTGATGCTGGAACAACGTGCAACCATTTTGGAAGTATCTTCCGTTGCTGTTATAATAATTGAGAATACGAATGAAACCAGTGATTAAAGGAACAGAAGCAGAATGGGGCGAGCGCAGAAGTGCGGCCAATATTGAATTCAAATATACTGACTGAATTTGCTCATAATATACGGGATCGATATTTATACAACAAAACTGACGAGACTGTAAATACTGTGAATACAGGTGATCATTTAATTTCTTTCGTTTCATCTTTTCAATAAAGTGCGAGTGTCCAACGAAGCGCATCCTCTGCTAATAGGCTCTATGTCCTCGAATAACTCTAGGGTATTTGACAAAATGGAGTATTTTAATTATCTGAACATAACACGAAACCTCTGTACGTGGTTGGCATTACTTAGTAATAAACAGGTGGAGTCTGATGAAATATTTTTACCAGAGAAAATGTCTGATCATGCATCGATGGCTGACCCTGAGATCAGCTGTGGATATATCATATATCCAACATAAAATGTCATGGATCAAACTACAGCATACTGTCACAACCAAATTATGGAGGCATTTAGCAGGCATTAGTGTTCTATTGCAGATCAAATGCTTAAAACGCTCGTACTTATACAACTTGATTTTGCTATGCTGTCTTAAACGCTTTGTCGACGGAATGCACCTTCTTTACCTAATGATGCTCATGCCATTATTACGCTGTCGACTGTGATTTGTTCAGAATCTCAAGAAGAGGATCAATTGGACAGTGAACCATTGGTCATTACCATCGATCAACCGATTCCGCGGATAAGTGAAGAATCCTCGGAGCCAGTATCGTCCGATCAGATCAACGAGAATTCGTCGATACAAGATCGATCTTTACTGATAACAGGATTGTTAACGAACTCAGTCGGTGAACGACAAAACAGTCCTGTACGTATGATTCCTTCATTATTGCCTTAAACCAGTGGTATTCAACTTTTTTGTTCAGCGTATTCTTAATCGACTTTCAATATCATCTCTGTTTCCTTCTCCTCTACCAGAAGATACTCAACCAAACGAAAACATTATTCAAAATATTGCATGAAAAACAGTATTTCATGCAATCGATTATGGTTGCATGAAAAACTATTGTCTATGACACGCTCACTTCAAACTGTTTTAGATGGATTCTCATTCTTTTCACACGTGTTGTATTCACTCTCATAGCTATTGTGTTCATATGTCGTTCTCTTGCTGAGTTTTTTTCATTCACTTCGTCTCATTTCATTTCACAGTTCGAATCAGTTTCTTATTCTGTTGCATATACTATTTACTGCATACGTTGACAAGTGTTGACGGCAGAAATCAACAATACAACCATTGAATTGAATTGCTCAATAACGTTTGACAGTCAAATAATCACTTATACAGTGTATTTGATAGAATGAGAATTTGACTTTAATTGTTGAGTGAAATGAATGAGAAATTAGAAAAAGAGAACACTTCTGGTGATAAAAGCTATGAGAGCGATTATAACAGCTCGAAAAAGAATGAAAACCCCGTTAAAACGAGCTAATGATATTCAGAAAATACGAGAATGAAGAATGTTTTGGCATAGATATCATTTCAAGATTGCAGGTAGCCACTGCGAAAAGCAATCAGCAAATGACTGCGAAAGGATTGCCTTCGGTAAATTCATCCGAATCGTTGAATGCAGCAGCATTTGAACTTCTTCAGACTCTCTTAAAACATAAACTCGCCTCTTCAGATTCATTTCAAAATTCGCTGTTCCCACTGATCACCACTTCACCAACTCCAATTCAGGTTTCGCAACACTTTACCGTTTTGCAACGTTTGCATTTTTGAATTTTATCCATTAAACGCGTGAATGACATTACCAAATATACTAGTACCCAGTCAATCTGCCTAAAGACTCATTGCTTAACTTACGGTTTTTTAATGGATACTTCGCCTAATAGGCAAACTGTTCTTTACGAAAATAGGCAAACTGTTCCTTAGGCAAACTGTCCATTAAGCAATGTGTCTTTAGGCAGATTGAGCGGTCACGAATATGCCTGTACAGCATTATAGCAAGCTAATTCGTTTCGGAATTTTCTGAAGTTCTACTCGGCGACATCAGCAAATGATGTAATTTCCAGCTATTTCAGGTCACGTTCACCACGGAGTCAACTAACGATTTTGCAAGAAGAGTGTATGGAGCAAGCACCCAACAGCAACGTGGTTCTCAGATTATGAACTCAGTTGTGCCTTTGAACATAACCGGATATCACGATGCCTCTTCAATGGCAACGGATCGAATTCATGTGTCGAATCAAAAAACACTCGAGCCAATGCCTGCTTCTGCGTTCTCGCCAATTTCATCGTCAAATCCGCCCAATATGGACGACGCTGTAACACCGACCTCCACTCATTCAACACCGTCAGAATCATTATCTGTCACTTGGCCGACCACACCTCAACTAACAGTGTTCCAGAATCGTAGGCCAGCTGTCAGAAATAGGCCTTCGCCATCGCATCGTAGAAAAAATATCCACAATTTGCGCCAAATGATCAGAAAAGATGCTCTCAAAAGTGCACAGTCGAGCAACTCGGACAGCATTGACGCCGTTAGAGTGCACAAAGTTTCTGAGGCTTTCGTTCGCAAGATGCCCTCTACAAACGTGCCAAGTGATAACGGAAATGCGGTGACGGATAGCTCAAGTGCACCAGATTCAATCGAAATAGCTGGTTGGGAACATCTGGCCGAAAACGGCATCATCCTGGCACCAAACTCATCTGAAATTGAATCAACCGCACGTTCCAGGACATTTTCTGACCGCAGAGCCAGCCTTAACTACGACGAAGTTCAAGACATCACTGATCTCGGATTCCTTGGAGACTGATTTCTGTGCATCAATGACCGTTATGCTCTTAGAAGAGGTATTAAAAGCTTGGAACTGTTCAAACGAGTTCGTCAATCCAACTTAACGTTATCGACTGTTGATGCCATATATTACGATTTTTAAATATCTCTGCAGATCACTGTGCGTTTCACTAAGGTACACACTCGTGAATAACGGCAAAACAGAAATTTGGCTATTTATGATTGATTGTTTCATCGCATTTTAACGGAATTTTGATTCTCCATATTGATTGTCAACAATAATTTGCTGATAATCACATTAATAATTTATGCGTTCCATTGTTTGTGTTTTCATATTGGTAATATTGGTAATAAGTTTCATAATAATGATAACCGTTATTGTTGTTATTGAAATAAATGACCAATTTGTAAAGTCGTTTCAGTTCAGTGTTCTATCGTTGATGTATATTGTGATGCGTTGTTCTATATTCTCTCAAATAAAATCTTTCCCCGTTTGAATGGAAGCCTCTCCCTGGAGAGTGATGAAGATTAGAAGGTTTTAGACTCGACTTCGAGACAATGCGATAGCTTGTTTTATCACCTTATTCGTGTGAAGATTAGTTATCTATTTGCTCACAAGAATTCTCATCTTTATTGCAGGACACGTAAAAGATGAGGAAAATAGGTAAACTTCCGAAAAAGATAATACCATCTATTAACAAACCAGAGGATAAATGCTCATGACAATGATATTATATTTTGGTGTAGTGATTGCCGAATGAACTGAAATTAATTGTGAGAGGAAATTTTTCTGCGAGGCAAATGAATTTTTCCTTCACTTACTCTTAAGTACTTTCTGTTAGGTCTATGGAGTACTTCCGAGTTTGACTATTCTCTTGGCCACAAATGTTGATGAAATTTCTTATATCATTCTCGCTCTGAATTTATAAGCTGACTTCATTAAAATTTTTTGAAGACGCTGTTCAAATCTACTGTCAGTTATGGTTTTCAAAAAAGAACNGCTCATGTTAAATTTGTTTGCTAATATTCCTATCGTCAATTCATTTAGCCGTCAATACATGAATATTGTTCATTTAAGTTGACTTCAGTGTTAGCATTGGTTTTATTTGAATAAAAACGAAAGCAGGCATAAGAAAATTTCAAGCAATTTTCAGTAAATTGCTGTGCATAAACTGATTGATCTGCTCGATTAATCATACTGATCTGCATTTCTGTAGATATCCATCAATTTTCTTGTGACTGCGTCTATTTCGATATTGCTGTTTAATAGAATCAGTTGAATAGACTCAAGAAATGAGTAAGGAAGTAGCTCATAAATGCGAAAAGTTCATGAGATCGGTAGCTGGATATGCGTGTGCTACGTGTTCACATAATGAATTAGTCGTTTATTTACGTTGGATGCGATCGTTTACATTAACCGTTTGCCGTAATCGTTTTAGAATTAGTGTTTACATGCCATTAACTTCAACATATTATAATTACATATTTCTAAGTAATATTCAACAAACCATGAGAAATTACTTTTGTTTGTCTGCTGTCAAATTGATGTATGTCATTGTTATACCTATTACACGCGCCTCTTTCGAGCAGTTCTATGAAGTCATCCTTCTATAATGCATCTCTCTCAATAACATATCTCATTGTTAGCGTTCATCGATGAATAAAGTTTGAAACGCATGAGAATTCGAAAAATGCATAATGATCTTATTGGATCGTATGATGGCTTGTAAATTTTAAACAAATCTTGTAAATTTTA